GATAGTGGGAGAACGCCAGATAAGGTACGAAAATACGGCAGGGGACGGTACGACGGCGAGGATGTACAAACGCGTGTCAGTCCATAATCGGAAAACCCCCCCCTCGAAAGCCGATGTAGCCGAGCCGATGTACGTGTCCCGAAAACTCCGCGATGTTAGGCTGCCCGCTATACGCATTCGCGCGCCCGCCTTCCTTCGGCGCGCGATTGCGTATAGCGGGGAGCTTACGCATAGCATCCCGCGGCCGCGTGCGCCCAGTCCCGCGGAAGTGCGCGGCTTAACCGCTTTCGGCGGTCGGGGAACAACGCATCTTTTGCGCAAGGCCAATTAGGCCATCTTGTGTCCGGTCTCTTTGGATAAAATATCATTTAGTTCGTCATATTACCGACAAGGGCAGCACCGTACGGTTATTGGGTTTTATGTCTGAGTAGAAATTAGTAAGTTTGATGGCATTAGTATTTGATTAGATGATTTCTTACGGTGTTTTGTAATTGTGTTTTTGCAGTTTACGTATATATATATAGAAGAAACGTGCAAGTACAGCTGTAACGAAAACCAGTATCTACCGATGTATAAATAAAGAAATCAACACAAGAATTTGGTCTTGCACGTCTAATCCAAGTGATGTTACAGTAAACTCTATGAGGTGGCCGGCTTCTCAAGTGAACAGTATTGCATGCGGACTCTAGTTGAATATCAGTAGTGGCACGGTCCTGGTACGTACATCACGGTTCCAGGCCTGACTGATTCAGCAATCGGAGGTCAGAAATTAGGTCAAGTTAACTGATAAAGGAGTACATCGGAAGGTCATTCGGCGCATGTAGTGGACTATTTGGAAGTCAAGTTCAGAAGCAAATAGGTTCACGCCTTCAAGGACTCTAAGGTCCAGAAATGCAGCAGGACGGTGTACCCAAGGCCACGCGGGCCAATGTCAAGGCCGCTTCCGAACAGAGGCAGGCACATACTCAAGGTCTGTCATCTGTTACCGACAAATTGCGTTCCGTTCTTAATAGCAGCAATACCGAAGTTGCAGTAATGAGAGCTCATCATTCAGACTGGCTACAGGAGTACGAGAAATACTTAGTATCTCATCATGCATGGCTCGATTTGGTGGAAGATGAGACAAGAAAGGAACTCGTGGCAGAATTACACGAAGAATTGGCATCTTTCGCTGAATTTAAGGAAAGGTTAGTAAAATGGTTTCTGGAAAATGATAAAGCTCCCCCCTCAGGTGGAAAATCCAGATCTGGGAGCTCCGTAGGTTCGACACACTCAGGTGAATCTTCTCGTCGTTCAAGTAGGAGCAGCCTATCGTTGATCAAGGCACAGGAAACCCAGAGAAAGGCCGAGCTAATGGCCAGGGCTGCAGCTATTGAAGAAAGGAAACAGATTGAGCAGGAGAAGCTTCAGTTGAAACTCAAGGAAGAGGAATTTCAGATAAGAACTGAGATAAAGGTGTCGGATGCTAGAGCTTCTGTATTGGAAGAGTTGGAGAGGAGTTAGTTAAATGATCAGAAAATGCCACGGGACTTTGACGTGGTTAAGCTGCACATTATTCCGGAGTATCCACCAGGGACTCAAGCAGCTTCAACTCCAAACAGGACTACATTCAACTTTGACGCGCCAGAGTATATTCCAGTCAATCAAGAGCACAATGATGAGGGCATCGCAGGGAATATTGAAGCCAACCAAGGATCGCAGGACAGGAGTCAGGTAAATGGTGGCACATCTTCTGCCGGCTGTATTGATGTTCCCACACCAGTAAGTAGCCCAACACAGCCGGGACAGCAAGCCAGGACTCATAAGGGTAGCTTAGCATTGATGTATGGTTCCATGCCGGGGACGTCCTCGTTATCGATACAGATGGATACAGTTGTTAGGGAGTTACGTAAGCCTGCATCAGACCTGAAGAAATTTTCAGGTGACTCTTTGGAGTATCGCAGATTCTTACGTCAATTTCAGGCTCGAGTAGTGAGTAACACTACAACTAACGACGAGAGGCTGAACTATCTGGAACAATTCACCGAGGGAGAAGCCCACCGTATTGTTAGTGGGTATAGCTGTCTTGAAGCAGACATTGGTTATTCAACGGCATTGAATGAAATGTAGAGGCGTTATGGCGACAAGGAGTTGGTGGCGACTGCTTACATTAGGCGGGCCCTGGATTGGCCATTGATCAAACCGGATAACCCTAAGGCCCTGGACGCTTACGGTATATTCTTAATAGAGTGTCAGAACGCAGTCAATGCAATAGATGTGGTGCGGATCCTAGAGTATTCCGAGAATTTAAAGAAACTCGTTTGCAAGTTACCCTATAGGCTTCAGGAGAAATGGCGAGGCATAGCACAGGACAGACGTGAGAAGAAGGAAGTAGTAAGGTTTGACCAGCTAGTAAAGCTTGTTCAAAGAGAGGCTGGAAAATTAATGGACCCCATCTATGTAAGACACGCCACGCACGTACAGCACACACTCATGACTCATTGATGGATGTTTACACTGATAATTCCTTCGAGTTGGGATAGNTTTTCGTTTCGATCGCGCTCATAATGACATTGCAGCTTTTCAGAGACAACTGCCGCCGTTTTTTCCTGGTCTTAGCCGCAATATATCTTGTAGAATAGGCCTACAACTGTATAGCTAGTAAGTACGCCCTAAATTACGAATATGTTACAATAATATTAGGTAGGGTAGTATGTTCCGTATATCCGCAGATAAATTTGTTGTTCATTTCAGGTGTTATATACACGATGAGGGCGCTTGGGCCTGCGATAGGATTTCCACTTGCTGGGTTGTTTAGCAAGATCTACGTAGACTTTTCCGGTGAGCCCGTACTAACAGCATTAGTGTATTGTAGATTTTTATTTTTATTTAGTTCAAGTAACCAGCTATCTCGAGTTTTTATCGCAGATATGTAAGTCTACATAAATAATACGTACGACGACTATAATGACAGAGATGGCAGCACTATCTAAATCATAATTCACATTCGATGTGAGTTGTTTATTATATACAATATATATTTACAATATTATATATGCAATATGTATAATTTTTATATCGTTAAATTTGTTTTAGATACGGACCTGACGCCCAAGGACCCACAGTGGATCGGTGCGTGGTGGCTAGGCCTTCTAATACTCTCTGGTATCACGTTCGCTTGCTCTCTGCCATTCGCTCTGTGTCCTAATCACTTGAGATTGAATGCGACAGCTCACAATGTAAGTGCATAAGCTGTGTTCTGTGTGTTATTATTGCAGCCTTTGGACAAACCTACCCCCAAGGTAGACGTTTCAGTGTGAGATCGTATCGAAAATGCTGGTTTCTCTTAGGTTAGATACAGTACGATTCGACAAGAATCTATAGATGATTAGATGATATAGACAAGAAGATTCGAAACGATCTATCTCGACAAGAAATTGGTATTTCAGATTGCGTGTGATAATTTTGTAGAGAATGTTTTTGCGATTTGTTCGTGATGTCGTGTCCACGCGTGTCTTTTTTGTATGCGTGATTTTTTGTGGTGAAAGGTACGTCAGACTCCATCATATAGACAACTTTATCAGAAACCGTCAGAAGAATTGTGTAGTAATTTTGATGTTGAACTCGGTGGAAATGAGTTCCATCGAGTGAGAAGAATATTGTCTATACACGTGTGGATGTACGATTGTGGCTCTTAATTTCCTGCAGAAGTCTAATGTAGCGGTAGAGCACATTGACTGTGACCTACAAGAACACCAGAAGGACGAGGAGATTGTTGAGATGATATACTACCATCCGAGAGGTATAAACACCGCCACATATATCCTAAAATACACTTACATACCTACAATAACTGTTATATGTACTCACGATAACTATTATATATACTCGCAGTAATCACTACATATTCTACTCTTGTGTAATCAGGAGTCGATCAATTGATAGACTCCTGGTGTAATGATAATTCCCGCGTACTATAGAATAATATCAAAAGCTCATAATCTACAGAAGAAAATGCGTAATTAAATTCATCATGGGTAAACCAAAAGTAGTAGACGTTGAAATTGCAACGTTTTAGCGTCACGTACTCTTTCCGTAATTATGATCGTTCTCGTATGTACGCACGCGTTGCTCTAACCTTGCAGAGTTTCTACGCGCTATGAGGCGTCTGCTCACCAACGGTCTGTACGTCTGCGTCGTGCTGGTCGTCTGCTTCCAGTTCTACAGCGTCATTGGCTACTTCGCCTTCCTGCCAAAGTACCACGAGTCGTACTTCGGCACGACGACGGCCGTCGTAAGCACCATTAGAAGGAGCTTCTACGTTCATGATGTGCTAAAATCTGTTGTCGATGATGATCAAGGGATCGACGTGAGGAGGGGTATGACTACTGCAGTTAAGGAAAACGGAGGATTCAGAGCATGCCAGTGGATTAGCAACAGCAAGCCCTTGAATGACTCCATCCCGTTATCAGAAAGATCAAAGAAACTAGAGCTAGCTATTGACAGTGAGGAACTACCGGCTGTAAGAGCTTTAGGGATAATTTGGGATACCGAGACAGATACTTTCACGTTCAGGCTATCACAAATTAGGCTAAAGGTGAAAGCGGCTACAAGAAGGGGAATTCTGTCGGTTATCAGTAGCGTTGTTGACCCCTTAGAACTAGCTGGGCCGTTTGTCTTACCAGCAAGGATACAACTACAACTTCTATGCAAACAGGACATAGCATCAGTGAGAAAGAAATGAACGAGTGGAGTCAATGGCTAATTGACATCCAGAAATTGGAGCAAGTGTTTGTGCCAAGGAGCCTGCGTCCTAGAGCATTTACAAAAATCGTATCACGAGAACTATACGCATTCGCAAATGCACCGGACATCGGGTATGGAATAGCCGTTTCTACGCGTCTACAGAACGATAAGGGTCAAGTATGCTGTTCGTTGCTATTTGGAAGGTCAAGGGTCGCTCCACTGAAGAAAGTCACCACACCTAGAATGGAGCTAACGGCTGCCAGCGTAGCAGTGAAGATCATTGCAATAATTACAGGTGCAATGGAGTATGAGTATGAGTTTGATAAAATTGTCTACTGGACCGATAGTATGTCCGTGTTACAGTACATCAACAATCAGACCAGCAGATTCCACACCTTTGTTGCTAACAGAGTCACCACGATTTATGAAGGATCAACTCTAAACCAATGGAGATACGCCCCTACTCAGCACAACCCTGCAGATTCTGCATCCCGAGGACTTCGACCAAAGGATCAACGAGCTAGCGAGCAATGGTTGTTGGGGCCCAAGTATTTATGGGAGCCGGAGTCACAGTGGCCGAGATCAGAGTTCTCAAAGGAGCTGTCACCTGAAGATCCAGAAGTTAAGAAAGTTTATGCCACACTTGCAGCACCTGGAGACATCGTAACTACAGATGAACTGTTTGCTAGATACTCAAATTGGAAGCAACTCAAGACAACTGTCGCATGGATACTAAGGGCACAGAAATGCTTTAAGCAGCGTCGCAGCACTGATAGAAGGTTGAGAGCTCAAGGCAGCGAAGCGTTGACACCACTTAGTGTAGAGGAGTTGGAATCAGCGGAGGTCTCAATTGTTAAATATTTGCAGCAAACGCACTTGCCGGAAAACGGAAAACACATAGGATCAATACAGAAGCTGGACCCATTCGTGGATGAAGCAGGACTGCTTAGAGTAGGAGGACGACGTGCTAAGGTTCCAGTTGAAGTCAAACATCCGATGCTGTTGCCGAAAGACTCGCCAGTCACTAGATTTATATTAGTAGATGCCCACAATAGAGTCGGACAATTAGGCTCGAACAGTACGTTGAGTGCACTCCGACAGAAGTATTGGATTGCGCGAGCAAGTTTCCTTATCTGAAGTGTCATCGATAAAGGCACAGTCTGTCGCCGCTATTGGGCAAAGTGGTTGGTTCAGAAAATGGCGGATTTGCCATTACAGCGTCTGGAGATGGATCAGCCAGCGTTCACTCAGTCGGGGGTGGACTACTTTGGCCCGTTCGAAGTTAAACGGGGACGGAGCACATACAAACGATACGGAGTCATCTTTACGTGTTTCTCAAGCCGGGCAGTACATATTGAGTTAGCCCAAAGTCTTACCACAGACTCGTGCATAAACGCTGTCAGGAGATTTGCTGCAAGACGAGCCGTACGTCGCCTGAGATCAGATAATGGTACAAATTTAGTTGGAGCCTGTAGAGAGCTGAAAGAAGAAATCCAGAAGTGGAATCAGTCAAAGATTGGATCAGCCTTACGTCAGAAAGGGATGGAATGGGAGTTTAACTGCCCAATAGCCTCCCCTCATGGTGGAGCCTGGGAGAGGCTAATCAGATCCGTGAGCAAGGTACTGTACGGAGTCGCCAAAGAGGACATCGGCGAAACCATAGACGCAGCGGGCGAGTGCTACTGTAGCCTGTATGCTGTAGCCTGTAGCCGTGCAGCGACGCAATCTCCCCGCGAGCCACACCGCCACATTCCACATTCCGAGAGAGCAAGCACAACAACAGCGCGTCAGTATAGCTGCCTTTTGTTTTAATAGA